GGAGAGTCTCTCCTCCTTTTTGGCACAGTGCCAAGAATGTATCAATCGTTATGGGTTCTCAGCTGTTTGCTATGATTCGAGAGACGAACTCCCCAACGAGTTGCTCTCAAGAGTAGATGGAGTTCACGGGCATCCCATGAAATCACTTAAGTGCTGACTTTCCCAAATTGGAAGGGAACATCTTGCACATCAATGCCTCATAGTTTGTCCAGAGGGCTATTTTGTTGGTGTAAGCTCCTATGTGAAGCACCAGGTCAGATTGGCCATCATATAACTCGAAAGTCAGAAGATTGACCTTCCATGGGGGTTCGGATTCTCGTATGGATCGAACGAAAGATGTGGTAGTCATCCATGCGAGGGTCTGTCTCACCCTCTCCTTCGCTAAATAAATGGGGTCGTCATGAGTATAGTCATGTTGTGGTCGGGTGGCCACATCATGAGGTGGCTCAGAGCACCTTCATTTTTCTCCTCTATAGTCGTCTCAGCGGTATTCCCTTTGACAGCAGGAAGGAGTCTCCTGTCATCCCATTCGCTCCTTAGGACGGCGTTTTCTTTGTGTTTCATGCCCTCCCCTACGATAAGGGTAATCATGCCTCGAAGAAGGGTCTTTGAGGGTGTGGTTAGTAATGCTTCTCCTAGGGGAGTACCTACTTCGACTCTGATTGCGAGTCGAGTAACTCCTTGCTCGAGAATGGCTCCTATGTTGGGAGGAATAAGCTTCCTCAATGTGATCGTTACGATGATCATGGTTACGGGTTGGCCACCTGACCTCACTAGTGAGTTACTTGCCACTCTGGCGTAGAAGGCCTTGCCTGAGAGCTTCTAGCTCCCCCATCTTCTTCCTGATTGCCTCATGGTAATCAATCTTAGTGGCAAATCCGCCTTCTACATTAGGAGCAGGAAGGTTGTGGTGAGAAGGAGGATTTCCTCTTGAGTGGTCCTATCTAATACTAGGTAGCACCTCCTCTGATACCTGGAGGTTATAGTTAACGGGATCCTCGTGGATCGGGGTTAGTGGAAGTAGTGAACGGATGGTTCTGGGATCGAGGGCTCTCTCATCGGTCATGGTTTCAAGGTTTCTTGGTTAGTAGAAAACTTAATCGTTTCCCACATACTACACCAATTGTGCAGGGATAAATCCATTCTGAAAGTAACCACCTCGTACAGACGGAGAAGGTGGTAGAGAAGTCTTGATGAACCTGCAAGACAAGAGAACGCCTAGGCGAACCGATGGCCGGAGGGACTTCGATTTTTAAGTCAGTAAGCTAGTCGAAGAAAAAGTGTATGGTGAATAGGCTTGAATTCAATTACATACCTAGTACCCATAACCTTTATTTATAGCAACATAGGAATCCGTGTTCCAAGTATAATCAAACTCTAGGTGGTGATAGGATAGACCTCATCACCAATCTCCCAAATGTTCGAGGTAAAATCCTACTAAGACGTTGAGTCCTGGCTTGTAGGAAGGGATATGCTCATTGGGAGGCTTTGTTTATCAATATTCACTTGATACTCGAAGTTGAGTTTTACTAGAACTCTAGGTCTCGGCCAATCTGGGTGACGGACAGAGGCGAAGCCAGGACGAGGGTCATTGTGGCACCAGGTGCAAGTGACGCCGGAGGCGGGGTAGCTAGCTGGGCGGCGCCCTAGGGCACTATTGACGACGCCTGGAAGTTGGCAGGGTGCCTTGGGTGACGCCAAGAAGCTGGGCAGGTACCTTAGGCGACACCACATGAGGTTGGGCAGCACCTTGGGCATAGTGGTGGTGGGTGACGCAGGAGGCTTCTTCAGTGTTTGTTATGGTGGGCAGAACCTTAAGGCTACTTGGAGGCTGCTTGTTGGGCGACACCTAATTGTTGCTTGAAGGCGGCGCCTCATTGCTCCTTTTGTGGGCGTGATGCTATGTGGTCAAGGCTAAAGTGCTTGTGGTCTAGTGTGTTGTGTGATGGTCCCACTAACACCAACCTCTTTCTTTAATATAGTTAAATAAAGAGAGAATTTGCCTTGTCATTATTTATGGGCGGCACCCCTACTGTTGCTTTAGTGGAGGTGAGTAGCTGGCCATGGGTGTGGGTGTTATTGTGTTATGTGGGCAGGGCCCCACTACTACTTTAGTGGAGGTCTGTCCCACAGTGCCTATTGTCGTCTCAACTTACTATCTCATTTACTGACTTGGGTACTAAAGGTGGTTTGATTGGTACCTAAATCAGGTCTTAATAACATTTTTCAAAAAAAAAAAATTGTATCGTATTACTATGTACAAATTCTATGAATGTTTTTTTCACAAAATTTGGTATTATTTACAATTTTTGTTGTCATTTATAAATTTTGAGAGTCATTTATAATTTTCAGTAATGCTAGATTGACCAAAAAAATGATAAAAAAAATTAGGATCAAATGATATGGTATTATAATAATTGAAAAAATTTAAATTTTAAACGTATAAAAGTGGGACCAATAATACCATTATGATAATGTTACATCTTTTGGTCTTTATTTTTTATCCCATTTTTTGTCGGTCTAACATTACTTTATAACTTTGGGGGGTTATTTATAAATTTTGGGTTACTTGAGATCGATTCTAAATTTGTTATAATCAATCCCAAATACCTTCAAAATATTTAAATGATTCCCAAGAAATTAGAATTTGAGCCATAAAAATTATAACATGACCCAAAAAGTTTTTTTTTTGGGGGGTGGAGGGAAGGGGAGGGGGGTACTTGAACCCTTGACTTCAAAAAGACAAAGTCTTCACAAAGTAAAGAATATCATTGGACCAAAGGCCCATTAAGACCCAAAAATTATAATATGACCCAAAAAGTTGTATTTCAACCCACAAACCTTATAAAAACTTGACAATACAATGAATCAATTAAGTATAATTTTAAAAAATTACAATTGATTTTTAATTCAATTTGATCAAATAAAAAATAATTGTATCATCTAACATTCAAAATAAAGTTTAGATTATTGGATCTTTTTTTATGAATTAAGATATTAATTATGAAAATAAAATCTTTTCAATGTTCAGGGTCAAATTTTTAAATTAATTTTTTAAACTTATCTTCTTCTTACAAGTCCCACAGCCAGCTGTATAAGTACAATTTTATTTAATACTATTATTTTATTTGTGATTTTCATGTCATTTTTTTATTATATTTATTATTTATAAAATCTCTATTTTCATGAACTAATAGTTTTACCAAAATATAATTGATGTAATAAAATCAAAAGACAATGGATGTCATGTACCGATAACAAATGCTCGTTACTTATGACAGTGGAAGATAGGAAAGGATGTGTGTTCTGTTGGTGAAAAAGGAAAGCATATTCATTGATTACGTTTTTTTAATTTTTTTTTAAATTAAAAATGGGGTTGTTAATTTCGTTTTTATTGTTAAAATCGAATTTGTTGATTCTGCTTTCAAAAGTACCATAGTTTGGTAAATAAGTTCAAAATTATCATATATCGGTAAATATGTTTGAAAAGAGCTGTATTTTGGTAATAAACTTGCCTCATTTTAGTCACTCGGATGAGATGAAAAATCCACCAATGTTCCTGTGTCACTTTGAACAAGCGCAGGTAAAGAGGTTAGATTAGGATACTAAACTTAAAGTTAGCAACTTGGAATATAGTAACACTAACAAGTAAATGAATGGAGCTAGTTGAAACCATAACTAGAAGAAAAGTTAACATGGCATACCTACACAAAACTAAGTGAGTAGGGGCTAAAACTAGGAAAGTGAAAAATATATGTAATAAACTTTATTATACTGAGAAAGATAGATGTAGGAATGAAGTAGAAATAATAGTAGATCCGCATTTTAAATAGAAAGTGATAATTGTTATTAGGAATGGAGACAAAAAAGGGGATATAAACTTATATTAATCAAATGATATTAATCAAATGCTGGAGAGTCTACCTTAGATTTTGATATGGCATATAAACTTATAGTAGCAAATACGTATTTTTAAAAAAAGGGGATGAACATTTAATAACTTGTAAAAATAAATTAAATAAAAGTTAAATATATTTTTTCCTAATTAGATAAGTGGATCGTAAATCATGTATGGACTGTAAAGTCATTCCTAGAGAGAGCTTAACCACATAATATGGGATAGTGATACTAGATGTAGTTATTAAAACATATAATCATTGGCATCAATCCCAACTGCAGTCAACAATTGTCCACTATATGCCCCTTTCAGGTGGAAACCATCTAATCCAACCACTTTCCTGCACCCTTGAAGAAATCCCCTGCACCCTTGAAGAAATCTCCTCTTACATGCTGCAAGACATACATAAAGTCTCTGAAATATAAGTTCACCATTTTCCTCATCACCAGGTGCATCCAAGATAATTGTGGAACCAGGTTTAGTCCTCCTTAGTTCCTCACAATAATCCCACAATCTACCATATTGTTCAATTTCATCACCATGTATCAACAACATTGCCCTTTTATTTGCTCTATACAATTGATTCCTTGACACATCAACATGAAAATCTCTCCTAACCCTCTTTTTAAAAGCCTTTGTAGGCTAACAAGGATTGACCCTTAGTTCATCCATATACTTCAATGCTATCATCTTTGAGGTGACATTTCTGTTATTATAAATTGTCCCACATGTATGCTTACCAATGTATATCTTTATTTGGTATGTTTTATCACCATGCACTCTACAAGCATAAACCAACCAACTATAGCCCCCTTCACATTGTGCCCTCACCCTCCTCTTATCATTTTTTACTAATTTCACATTTCTCTGATGTTTGATAGCATGTTGTCTAATGACAACCTTGATATCATCAGATGTACTAAAAAAACATACCCAATTTAAAATATGGGTCTTCCTCATCATTTTCTGCCCTAAATACTTCAATTTTTTTATGTTTTCTTGCATGATTCTCTCTATCAGATGAACTGAAGCAACTTAAAATCTTCCCAGAATCACAATCTGTATCACTGAGTTCTAACTGTTTGTTTGTTACTGTTTCTTTCTACCTATTACTATTCAAACCAATCCATTCAACTTCATTATCAACATAACTATCATACAACATGTCATCATACTCACTTTCATAATCACTGTCAACCAACGTATCAAACTCACTAAATTCACAATCAGGATGGTATTCACTGTCTGATTCATCAGACTCTGATGCTACCCTTTTCTCTTTATAAACTGAGACATCACCATCAACCTAAAGATTCTCCATTGTGATTCTTGTATAATAAGATCATGTTCAAGGACCACATCAACTATAAAATATGGCAACTAACACATTAACTATTACTGAACAGTTTCCAATTCATAAACAAATGGTTTTCAAGGACCACATCAACTATAAAATATTGCAACTTATACATAAACTATTAACAAAGAGTTTACAATGCATAAACAAATGATTTTGAAAAAACACATAAACTATCTAATATTGAATACCGACTTTTATAAATCAGTCTTACCCATGAACCTTAGACTTAAATTTATGAGAATGAGTACATACCATAATGGGGAATGTCTTCATATGCATATTGATTCCCAGTCTTTCGTCGTTTGGAACGTACCATCTTTGGGCTTTGCCCTAATGGTGTTCTAACCTGTTCAAATGGTGCTCTGTTTTGTGCTTTTCCCTAATCGTGTTTTGCCCTAACTGAAAAGTCTTGTTTGTTGCAGAACAAGTGAAGACATTGAATAGTCTCCTGATCAGCCGTTTCCCTCCAATAATGGGAGGAGGGTAAATGTCATATAAGCCCTTCACCTGGGTCATGCAGATGGCACATGACTATGAACAGTCAGAATTGTGGACGGCGTCAACGGTGGAGACTAGGTAAGTGCATATGTAATACATGAGGGACCAACTTGATGCAATTAGANTGATTTGCTCTAATGGTGTTCTGACCTGTTCAAATGGTGCTTTGTTTTGCCCTAATTGTATTTTGCCCTAACTAAAGAATCTTCTCTATTGCAGAACAAGTNTGTTCAAATGGTGCTTTGTTTTGCCCTAATTGTATTTTGCCCTAACTAAAGAATCTTCTCTATTGCAGAACAAGTGAACAAGTGAAGAGTATCCTGATTAGTCGTTTTCCTCCATGAATGGGATAAGGGTAAATGTCATATAAGCCCCTCACCTGGGTCATGCGGATGACACATGACTATGAACCACCAGAATCGTGGACAGCGTCAATGGCAGGGACTAGGTAAGTGCATATGTAATACATGAGGGACCAAATCAATGCAATTAGAAGCTTAGAGACCAAAATGAGATAAAATGAATACTTTGGGGACCACAACCGCAATTAACCCTACTTGAAAAGAACTAAGTAGTATCAAATTTTTAAGCTCATTTGACATTTAGGTTGTGCCCAAGTCATATGTTTACTTAGGTTTGCTTGCTCAAGTTCAATTCATTCGTATCGACTAAGAATTTTAACAAGTTGAATGAATAGTAGTATCATCGATGAATTGGATGAGATGATTTCTAATCGGCATACTATGAGTTCATGTCATATTAATGTAGTGTTTTTTGATATATGCAAATCTGAGTTTGAGTTCAATTACTTTTATTATAAGGACAAATTGAATCCAACATGAATATCTATATTTTACTTATCAATGTCAACATTTGTGAAAAACTTTTGATTACTTATTTTATCCTTAATTATTATTATAAAGTCAATAATGCCCACATATTATTTTCATTTCATTTTTATTTCCTATACCTATTTGACTTTTAAGTTATTTTAGACTCTTTTATTACAATATTTGAATTTTAAATTCTTTATCACTTTCATACACTTTTTATTTCATATAAATTCTTTATCACTTTCATACACTTTTTATTTCATATACCTATTTGACTTTTAAGTTATTTTAGATTTTTCTATTAATAGTATTTGAATTATAAATTCTTTTGCACTCATTTATTAGTAGTACACTTTTATACATTTTTATATTTATGTCATAAGCTTCAATTCAATTAAGGGTTCTTTGGAAGCTGATATACCTAATTAAACTTATTTGGCAAAAAATACATAGAACAAAATATTATGAAAAAAAGTACACAACTAAGTTACAAAGACATAAATGCCCATTTTAGGGTCATTTAATTCAAAATCTTTTATCTTTAATGCACTTTGATTCATGTGTGTTTGTTAATACATATAAATACGTATTTAATGTACCTTAATTCATGTGTATATGTTAATACATATAAACATGTATATATATATATTTGTTGTTTNAAAATCTTTTATCTTTAATGCACTTTGATTCATGTGTGTTTGTTAATACATATAAATACGTATTTAATGTACCTTAATTCATGTGTATATGTTAATACATATAAACATGTATATATATATACTTGTTGTTTAATCTCTTATCTAAATTTTGAATTATCTTTAATGCACCTTGATTCATGCGTATTTTCTTTTGGAAAGTGATTTTTATTTTTAAATTATATTTAATGCACATTGATTCAATCATTTTTTTTTTGAAAAATGGTTTTATTTTTNACTTGTTGTTTAATCTCTTATCTAAATTTTGAATTATCTTTAATGCACCTTGATTCATGCATATTTTCTTTTGGAAAGTGATTTTTATTTTCAAATTATATTTAATGCACATTGATTCAATCATTTTTTTTTTGAAAAATGGTTTTATTTTTAAATTAATTTAATATTCGAATAATGTAATAATGTAACAATAACAGTGTAACAAATACACTGTAACAAAAAAAGTGTTCAATAATTTTGTGTATGCGATAACAAATTTAAAACGGAGATGAACTAGTTTGANCATTGATTCAATCATTTTTTTTTTGAAAAATGGTTTTATTTTTAAATTAATTTAATATCCGAATAATGTAATAGTGTAACAAATACACTGTAACAAAAAAAGTGTTCAATAATTTTGTGTATGCGATAACAAATTTAAAACGGAGATGAACTAGTTTGAATAAAATTATATGTTTGACAAAATATAATAGTACAATATTTTGTGTAAATAGTTTGTTATACTATTATTGTTATACTGTTACACTGTTAGTATTACACTGTTACACTTTTATTGTTACATTGTTATTGTTATACTATTACACTATTCAGATATTAAATTAATTTAAAAATAAAAACACTTTGGAAAAAAAAAATGCATGAATCAAGGTGCATTAAAAGATAATTCAAAATTTAGATAAGAGATTTAACAACAAGTATATACATACATACATACATAAGTATTTATATATATATATATATATATATATATATATATATATATATCATTCAAAAGTGTATTTAGTATTACAAGATGCTAGATGTCTTAATTTTGATCAGTCTTTAATGGGTGTTATGCAGTCCAGTTTAAGTACTGGTCCAGTTTATTTTAACTATTTTCCAAATCTATCTGTATCTTTGACTGATAAAAATATTTTGGATGTTTTAACATATCATATAAAATCTCGTGGCTATAATTATAAAGAAGGCACAAAAATAATTGTGTTTGCTTATAGGATATATTATAAAGTTATGAATACTCTATGTCCTGAAGCTAAGCTTTTGAATTTTAAAGGTCAAACCACCTTAATTGAAACCAACACGGTTAAAAATAAAATTGAAGTCCCTAAAACCATTAAATAGTCAGATATCCAATTTTTGGACTCCTAACAATTGAAGTCTGTGGTTCCTAAAAAACCAGAAATAAATGAAGAAATAACCTAGATCGCCCAATCATCCCAAGGTGATGTTACCATAAAATTTGCTAGGATAAACTCTAGAAATTATTTACAATCTTTTGATAAATCAGAAACTTCATTAGATTATAATACACCTTTAACTCCTTTTATACCTATAAGAAAATCCACTTCTTCGGTCCAAAATCGAAGAAGAGATAAAGAACCTATAATTGAAGGAATTAAAATTTTCAAAAATAATATACCACAAGGTATATATTGACCTGTTAATACTTCTTCTCAGGAAGAAGACTTTGATAAAGGTTTTGATTTATCTACAAAATAAAGAACTTTTATTAATTCAAAAGTGTATTTACAAAGTAAAATCTACTTACAGTAGTAGAGTAGGAGGTGAAAGAAGGAGGGTTATACAAGAAAAGGGTTCACCGAGGGTGCAAGAGGGAAGGAAGGAAGGAGATGGTCAAGGGAGTTGGTAGAGGTATGAGATAAGGTATGGAGAAGGTCTTGGGGGTGGTGCTCCATAAGTCAGGCCTGCACCCCTATATATAAAGTCGGACATGAAATTCGGATTTCAAAATAAAAAATACTATTCACAACTTTATACTGTTCCTAACTTTAATAATTTATAATGATGTCATTGCTTACATCATAATTACTGTACACTATTCACAGTCGTTGTAATAACGTAAGGGCATACATCACTTCTTCGTAGTGAGGTCAGGGCGTGCATCACTGCTTCCGAGTCGGCTTTATCCGAGAAATCAATTTTATTTGATCATTTCCTATAAAATAAAGTAGACAGTACATTATGTCTGTCATCATGGAGATTTATCTTCATATCAACATTTAACAATTCTTCGTTAATTTCAATGTCACCTTTAAGAGGGGTATATTCCTAGAAATCTATAAAGTCGTCATCAGAATTAATAGAAGTAGGAGATTTCCTATTTTTTTCCTCAACTTTATCTTTCGCTTTGCCTTTTATAGCAATTGTAGGAGGGTTAACGAGATACATCTTTTCTGTTTTGCTCATGCCAAAATTAGACATGATCTGAAAACCGAATTCCTCCATAACCGCTGCTTTAAGATGCCAAGGATTTATTTAAGGTTTTTTTTTTTTAATTAATTCTTTAAGAACTTTCATAGAATTTAAATTAGTTCCAATATTTATATTGGTAAAGGGAATAATATATGTAGAAGATGAAGCTTTATCAGTTGAAGATTTATCTTCTTCTTTATTAATGTCTTTAAGACATTCTGCTATGATTTTACTTTTAAACTCAAGCGGGCAATTTTTCCAAAAGTGGATTAAATGTTTCTTGATTTGTCTGGAATCAATAATCTCCCTGATTTTTCTGGTTTTATTAACATTGTAAGGATATATCCTTTCAATAATTTTAGAGACAAATGAAAAATTAAGCTCCATATATGGAGACAAAGTCAAAGATCTTTAAATATTAGAGAGAGATTTATCTCTTGACAACTTATCTTTATTGTTAACTTTATTTGACAAAGATGTGACAACTTTAAGTTGTTTTGACGGGTTATTATCTATATCACCTTTATGTGATGATGACTTTATAGAGAGTAGAGGATAATAAGCATTTTTATATGCATTAAAATAATAAGTATCCTTATATGGATTAAAGTAATATGCACTTCTATATACATAAAAATCATTTTTATAGTCATCAGAATAATATGTATTTTATATACAAAAACTTGGGTTCTAATAATTATACCACCAAGTTTATTTACCATTTCTTGACAAAATTCTTCTAGGACTATAGTCTCCAGCCACTGTTTATAGTGTCAATCATAATGTCAGTCATTAATTTCAAGGATAAGATAGAACTTTAAACCTGCTTTTAAAGATTCTTTTTGCCGTCTTGCAATTCTTAAGAAAAAGATAGGTATGTGATCAATTAATTGATCTTCCATAGCATTACAATAGAGACACCAAAATGAAACTTTGCAATTATTAGTATTCCATGTGGAGGAAAAACTATAAACATCTTCTCATGCATAATCACAAAAACAGTCAAGAAGTTTAGGTGATTTGACAATAAGATCCAAAGAGAATGAATTTGGGTTATGACTCATTTCTGTAACTTCTTGGACTTTTCTTGCAAAATAAACATCACTTTTTAATATGTTAGAAGATGATGAAAATTTTAATTGATTTTCTTTATAAATCAAATTTTCTTTTATTTGATTTATCAGTTTCACTTGAGGTGGAGTTATAAACTTAAATAATATTTGTTGATCATTTATGGTAGTCAAAATTTTTTTAGAATCGATTCTTTCTATAGGTTCGATTAAGGATAAAAATGGTATTCCTAAAATCACCAATTGATTTAAATTATCAATGAGCATAAAAGTAGTAGGAATACAAATTCCTTGATTACAAACCAAAATATTAGAAAGTTTAAAATTAATATTTAATTTTGACCCATCAGCAACACTTACTGACTGAGTAATTTTTTCAAAATATTTTGTCGNAATTCCTTGATTACAAACCAAAATATTAGAAAGTTTAAAATTAATATTTAATTTTGATCCATCAGCAACACTTACTGACTGAGTAGTTTTTTCAAAATATTTTGTCAAAATTAATCATGTCTTTATGCAGTTCATATCTGCTCCACTGTCAATTAAAACAATAGTTTCGACAGTAAATTCAGAATTTATAACTAAAATAATTTTCATATACAATTTATGATAAGTTATTTTTTCTAAAACATTTATATTTTCATTTGGTGATGTTTTATCATCAAAGTTAGATAGTGATGGTGATGCTATATCATCATGTATGTCACTTTCTTTAGATCGGAGTTTTTCTAAAGCTAATAATCTAGACTTTAAGACTTTTATGTCTTCTTTGACTTCATTGATTTCTATCTCTATATTTTGAATTGTAATAGGCAAAGCTTCCTTTATATGGAGTGGACTATTACTCATGTCCTTTTCATTTCTATTAAGGACTTCCTTTAATGAATATGGTTGAGACAGATTAGGTCTTTTTTCATCTAGATTTATCTCTAAATATTGTTCAATAGCTTTTCTTTTAGAAAGTGGATCTTGAATTTTATCTATAAGATCAAGAATAAAAATTTGTGACTTAGTCAAACTATTTATACTTAATCCATTCATAGTTAGAATATCTTTATAATAATTATTTTCAGCTTTACAGTGTGAAGAACAAGGTTTATCCTGTCCTAAAGAACCGATTTCTGAAGAAGAATCAATAATTTCATTAATATTGTAGTCTTCAAAATTATCTTCAATCTCATTTTCTGAGTTTAAAAAGATTTTTTCTTTAAGGTCTTCATCATTAATTAATTCATTTATCTGTTATTTAATTAAACATTTGAAAACAATATGACCTTCCTTTTCGTACTTAAAACATTTAAGAAAAGGTTTCTTGTCCTTTTCTTTCACTCTTTTAGTGAGTTGTTCCTTAGTATAGCNTTCTGAGTTTAAAAAGATTTTTTCTTTAAGGTCTTCATCATTAATTAATTCATTTATATGTTATTTAATTAAACATTTGGAAACAATATGACCTTCCTTTCCGTACTTAAAACATTTAAGAAAATGTTTCTTGTCCTTTTCTTTCACTCTTTTAGTGAGTTGTTCCTTAGTATAGCTTTTTTTTATAGAATTTTCTACCTTATTTATAAGGCTTAGCATAAGGTTTTTTAGAAACCTTATCTTTTGGGATATCAAGATTATAAGTAAATTGATTATAAAATTTTCCAAGTTCTTTTCTACCAGTTAATCTTTGTCTCTTAAGTTGAGTTTTAAGATTTAAATCATTACAGAGAGCTAAACCTTCCGAAATACCTTCAGAAATTAGTTCCCCATAAGTATAATTTTCATAAGGGATTTTAAATCCTCCATGTTTTTGCTTTAAGCGAATTCTTATTTTTTCAGCAAATAAATTAGGCAATCCTAATATAAATTTTTCTTTCTAAAATTCATTATTAACATATGATTTTAGCAAAACTTTAGCCAAAAACACATCTTTATACCACCTGAAATGTGTTAAGGTGAGACATCTTAAATTCATTAAAAGTTCTTTGTTTTTATCCAAATTTTAAAAATTGGATCCAACAAAGTGTTTTAAGATAGATTGAACCAAGGTATATAGAACATCTTCTTGAGTAATTATAGTTCCACTTTTTGCTGGTGTTACCTTGACTGCATTTAAAATTTCATTTTGTTGAACTGGACTTAAATAGTTATTCCACCATCCTCTTAGTTAGCCTGTAAACCTGGTGGTGATAAATTTAGCAGTAGCATANAATTTTAAAAATTGGATCCAACAAAGTGTTTTAAGATAGATTGAACCAAGGTATATACAACATCTTCTTGAGTAATTATAGTTTCACTTTTTGCTGGTGTTACCTTGACTGCATTTAAACTTTCATTTTGTTGAACTTGACTTAAATAGTTATTCCACCATCCTCTTAGTTAGCCTGTAAACCTGGTGGTGATAAATTTAGCAGTAGCATGATCAGAATTTCGATTAGCTTTACATATTGAAGCATACATTAAAATTTTATGTAAAACTTGATGAATGACATATTTAGACATACCATCAATATTCCATTCATAAATGGAGGAAGCATCATATCCTTGTTGATCAATAAACAAGTTTTCTTCATATATAATATTTTGAGGTGTTGTCCTCTGATAATAAGCCCTCATGGGATGAGCTTGTGCATAAATATTAGCTTGAGATTTTGGTTTAAAAAATTTAATTTTATTTATTTTTTCATATTGTATTTGGTGTAAAGAATTNTGTTGTCCTCTGATAATAAGCCCTCATGGGATGAGCTTGTGCATAAATATTAGCTTGAGATTTTGGTTTAAAAAATCTAATTTTATTTATTTCTTTATATTGTATTTGGTGTAAAGAATCNAATATTCCATTCATAAATGGAGGAAGCATCATATCCTTGTTGATCAATAAACAAGTTTTCTTCATATATAATATTTTGAGGTGTTGTCCTCTGATAATAAGCCCTCATGGGATGAGCTTGTGCATAAATATTAGCTTGAGATTTTGGTTTAAAAAATTTAATTTTATTTATTTTTTCATATTGTATTTGGTGTAAAGAATTTTCATATTGTTGGATTTCAGTTTAAGATTGCTCTTCATCTTGGGTTTTAGAGTTGACATTTAATGTCAAGCCTTTCAATTTATTTTTGAGTGCATTTATGAACTCATCTTCCACTTTATTATGCAAATTGAATGTGGAAGTGTCAACTGATGGTTTTATATTGACTTGTTCAACTTCCTTATCCTTACGGGACTGTAAAGTTGAAGTTTGGTGTGAATATATTAAATTCTCAATTTTAGTGAGATGTTGACCTATAGTGTTGCCCGTATAACAAGCGTTTATATGAATTTCTTCAGAATTATTTAAGGGTATTTTTATTGGTTTAGTAGTTAGAGAATAAAAACTGTTTATAATTTTTCCATCAAGTGTTTCCCATTTATGTTGGAAAATTTCCAAAACATTAATATACCACATGGTATATATCGACCTGTTAATACTTCTTCTCAAGTGAGACTGACAAATCAAATAAAAGAAATATTGATTTATAAAGAAAATCAATTAAATTTTCCATCCTCTTCTAACATATTAAAAAGTGATTTTTATTTTGCAGAAAAAGTCCAAGAAGTTACAGAAATCAGTCATAACTCAGATTCATTCTCTTTGGATCTTATTGCCAAATCACTTGAACTTCTTGACTGCTTTTGTGATTATGGAGGAGAAAATGTTTATAGCTTTTTCTCCACATGGAATACTAATAATTGCAAAGTTTTACTTTGGTGTCTCTATTGCAATGCTATGAAAGATCAATTAATTAATCATATACCTATCTTTTTCTTAAGAATTGCAAGACAACAAAAAGAATCTTTAAAAATAAGTTTAAAGTTCCATCTTATCCTTGAAATTAATGACTGACATTATAATTGACACTATAAACATTGGCTGAAGACTATAGTCTCAGAAGAATAGTGTCAATCATATATATATATATATATAAATATGTATTCAAGTTCTCCCATAAAAATAAGAGATGTTTAATGCACCATTTTAAAGTGGTGCATTAAATACACATAGATTAATGAAGGGCAAAAATATCACAAAAAAATCAGTAAAATTTAAATAATGTACTTAGATATAAATAAGTATCAAAATTAAGAACTTAATTACCCAACGTTTTTTCTATATATTTTTTTTTACAATTAAATCAAATTGGGTATGCCTCCTTTTAATTTTCCCTTCGATTAACATCCTACCCGGGGTTCAAATTCAACACACGTGGATCGGCCCAAGTAACCCGGGCCTAGCAGGTGCAGGAGGACAAACAAGGAACAACCACTATAGATTCAGATTCATAGCAGACGACTATATAGGAATATTCGACAAGCGTTGCAGCCGAAAAAGCACAATCCGTGTCATCAAACTACTGTCATTCCCCACCGTCGATTCAACCCTTGTAAACGGCTCAGAACCACCTAAACCTAATGACGCGGATCGCCATTCTCAACTGTCGATCTGCACTCCAAATCCAACGGTCCCCATCCTCCTTTATATCCGAAGCATTTCCTATATAAACCCACTGTCACCTTTTAACTTCCTCCAAATCAATTGCGCTTCTCTTTTAATTTCAATTCCTTTGAATTCGTGTTCATTTCATCTTCTCAATCATCGGAAAATGTCTGGACGCGGGAAGGGTGGCAAAGGCTTGGGAAAGGGAGGAGCGAAGCGTCACAGGAAGGTCCTTCGCGACAACATTCAAGGCATCACAAAGCCAGCGATTCGTCGTCTGGCTCGTAGAGGTGGAGTGAAGCGTATCAGTGGGCTTATCTACGAGGAGACTCGCGGTGTTCTCAAGATCTTTCTTGAGAATGTGATTCGCGATGCTGTTACCTATACAGAACACGCTAGGAGGAAGACGGTGACTGCCATGGATGTGGTCTATGCTCTCAAGAGGCAGGGAAGGACTCTGTATGGGTTCGGTGGTTGATTTTGATTGTGTTATTGTTTGTTTGGGGGTTTTGAATTGGTAAATTTGGAGGGGGGGGGTAAGGTTAGGTAGTACTGGTGTTTTAGGATCTAATTTCAGTTTATTAAATGTATTACAATCCTTCTGGGGTTGTTTGTCAGTTAGTTTTTAATGAATTTGTCTGATATTTGGTCTCTAATTGTTGAATCTCATGCTTCCAAGCCCTCCTTCAAATGTGTTTCTACTACTGTGTAAATGGCAATCTCTTTTCAGTGTTTTCATCGTTTATCAAATGGGGGTGTGAGATTATCTGGTATTCTAATTTAGGATTGAGTTTAACTTGGTAATTTGGTTTATATAATTTTGCAGGGCGATTTTGGAATTTTGAAATTGCAGTATAAGTAGCATCAATAGCCTTAGGTTTTCCTCTACCCTCGCTTATTTACTGGTTTTCTCTCTGTATGTATGTTTGGGTAGTCTGATCTGCAGCTCTCGAAGTTAATAATACGAAATGTTGATGAAGGTTTGAAGACAATTAAGTTAATGGGAGAGCTAGGACATGTTTAGTTTGTATTTAAAAATTATTTTTGGAAAGAATTTTAAAAATTTATTAGATTGGAAAAGTTGTTTGATTATATATTTTTGAAAATAGTTTTAAAGAATAAAAATTATATAATTTGTTTGGATAATAATTTATAATTCTCATCTTGCTCTTTCTTCTTTCTTTATCTCCAAAAAATATATTCACACGCACACACATTGACACATGCACATGTAGATGCATTTACAAAAATATATATATAGAGACATACACACATATATATAGATGTATATACATGCAAACACATGCATAGACGCACACAGATCTCTGTATATACATAGATTTATGCTTAGATTTGAAGTTCCAATTGTTGCGAAAGAGAGATTAGATTTGAAGTTTTTGCTTGTGGTGAAGAAGAAGATGCTAGAGAAAATGAGCTCTCTTTGTGTGTGTGTGTGTATGTTCGTTCTATCTAAGAGGCAAAGTGGAGAGAAAGAGCTAGAGAAGACGAACTTGGTGTCTGTCTGTTTTGTTTGACGGGCAAAGTGAAAAGATAGAGAAAGGAGAAAAAAAAAAAAAAGGAAGCTTCCAGTGCATATAACTTCGNCTATGAAAGATCAATTAATTAATCATATACCTATCTTTTTCTTAAGAATTGCAAGACAACAAAAAGAATCTTTAAAAATAAGTTTAAAGTTCCATCTTATCCTTGAAATTAATGACTGACATTATAATTGACACTATAAACATTGGCTGAAGACTATAGTCTCAGAAGAATAGTGTCAATCATATATATATATATATATAAATATGTATTCAAGTTCTCCCATAAAAATAAGAGATGTTTAATGCACCATNATTTTTTTTTTTTTAAATTTTTATGTTTGATAAGTATGAAATAGAAAATAATAAAAAAAAATAATTTTCTTCCATGTTTATATTTTNTTTAAAGTGGTGCATTAAATACACATAGATTAATGAAGGGCAAAAATATCACAAAAAAATCAGTAAAATTTAAATAATGTACTTAGATATAAATAAGTATCAAAATTAAGAACTTAATTACCCAACGTTTTTTCTATATATTTTTTTTTACAATTAAATCAAATTGGGTATGCCTCCTTTTAATTTTCCCTTCGATTAACATCCTACCCGGGGTTCAAATTCAACACACGTGGATCGGCCCAAGTAACCCGGGCCTAGCAGGTGCAGGAGGACAAACAAGGAACAACCACTATAGATTCAGATTCATAGCAGACGACTATATAGGAATATTCGACAAGCGTTGCAGCCGAAAAAGCACAATCCGTGTCATCAAACTACTGTCATTCCCCACCGTCGATTCAACCCTTGTAAACGGCTCAGAACCACCTAAACCTAATGACGCGGATCGCCATTCTCAACTGTCGATCTGCACTCCAAATCCAACGGTCCCCATCCTCCTTTATATCCGAAGCATTTCCTATATAAACCCACTGTCACCTTTTAACTTCCTCCAAATCAATTGCGCTTCTCTTTTAATTTCAATTCCTTTGAATTCGTGTTCATTTCATCTTCTCAATCATCGGAAAATGTCTGGACGCGGGAAGGGTGGCAAAGGCTTGGGAAAGGGAGGAGCGAAGCGTCACAGGAAGGTCCTTCGCGACAACATTCAAGGCATCACAAAGCCAGCGATTCGTCGTCTGGCTCGTAGAGGTGGAGTGAAGCGTATCAGTGGGCTTATCTACGAGGAGACTCGCGGTGTTCTCAAGATCTTTCTCGAGAATGTGATTCGCGATGCTGTTACCTATACAGAACACGCTAGGAGGAAGACGGTGACTGCCATGGATGTGGTCTATGCTCTCAAGAGGCAGGGAAGGACTCTGTATGGGTTCGGTGGTTGATTTTGATTGTGTTATTGTTTGTTTGGGGGTTTTGAATTGGTAAATTTGGAGGGGGGGGGGGTAAGGTTAGGTAGTACTGGTGTTTTAGGATCTAATTTCAGTTTATTAAATGTATTACAATCCTTCGGGGGTTGTTTGTCAGTTAGTTTTTAATGAATTTGTCTGATATTTGGTCTCTAATTGTAGAATCTCATGCTTCCAAGCCCTCCTTCAAATGTGTTTCTACTACTGTGTAAATGGCAATCTCTTTTCAGTGTTTTCATCGTTTATCAAATGGGGGTGTGAGATTATCTGGTATTCTAATTTAGGATTGAGTTTAACTTGGTAATTTGGTTTATATAATTTTGCAGGGCGATTTTGGAATTTTGAAATTGCAGTATAAGTAGCATCAATAGCCTTAGGTTTTCCTCTACCCTCGCTTATTTACTGGTTTTCTCTCTGTATGTATGTTTGGGTAGTCTGATCTGCAGCTCTCGAAGTTAATAATACGAAATGTTGATGAAGGTTTGAAGACAATTAAGTTAATGGGAGAGCTAGGACATGTTTAGTTTGTATTTAAAAATTATTTTTGGAAAGAATTTTAAAAATTTATTAGATTGGAAAAGTTGTTTGATTATATATTTTTGAAAATAGTTTTAAAGAATAAAAATTATATAATTTGTTTGAATAATAATTTATAATTCTCATCTTGCTCTTTCTTCTTTCTTTATCTCCAAAAAATATATTCACACGCACACACATTGACACATGCACATGTAGATGCATTTACAAAAATATATATATAGAGACATACACACATATATATAGATGTATATACATGCAAACACATGCATAGACGCACACAGATCTCTGTATATACATAGATTTATGCTTAGATTTGAAGTTCCAATTGTTGCGAAAGAGAGATTAGATTTGAAGTTTTTGCTTGTGGTGAAGAAGAAGATGCTAGAGAAAATGAGCTCTCTTTGTGTGTGTGTGTGTATGTTCGTTCTATCTAAGAGGCAAAGTGGAGAGAAAGAGCTAGAGAAGACGAACTTGGTGTCTGTCTGTTTTGTTTGACGGGCAAAGTGAAAAGATAGAGAAAGGAGAAAAAAAAAAAAAAGGAAGCTTCCAGTGCATATAACTTCGAGTTTGTTTGTTAAGTGGGATTATTGTAAAAAATGTAAGAAATTTTTTTTTTTTTAAATTTTTATGTTTGATAAGTATGAAATAGAAAATAATAAAAAAAAATAATTTTCTTCCATGTTTATATTTTCTCATAACTAATCAACTTTTTTTCTTATAAAAAACAAAAGAAAATATAAGAAAATTGTGATGTATAACTAATTTCTTATTTTACTCTTATTTTTTTTAAAATATTTTATTGATTATTAATTTTAAAAAAATTTGGTATGAATTTAGTTAACCATTATATTTGACTTAGAGACCTTTGTGTTGATGGTTGTCCAAATTATACTAGGAGTAACATTTTGAAAAAAAATTTAATTTTTAATTATAATACATATTTTTTTTTCTCTAGACCAATTTAATATATTTAAAGATAATTTAGATAATTAAAAAATTTTTCCTTTCTTTCAAACAATATAATGAATTTTTAAAAAAATTTTCTTGCAAGGTTTTTATGCTAATCAAATGTATGCACAAAAATATATTTTATTTCATTTTCTTTCGTTCACTTCACTTTTCATGGTTGTATTTTTCTTCGACTTTTAGCAGAATTTCTTGATGGCCTGAAGCAAAAGCAACTGTGAGCCCTCATCTCGAGGCGGCTGATGACAAAACAAAAAGTTTCTCAACTAAAATTGCATTCGCAGCCACTGTTTGCAGAACGTTCCATGGCGGCGCTCAAGTGGGCTGAAGTTGTACGACGTCTAAAGCTTCTCCAACGACTGGGATTGTTGAAGTCACCCCATGAATCCATGCCTTCAAATAGAGACTATTCATCTTTTCACTACTACTTCTGAGTGTGTCTTTCTTTCTTTGTGGGACGATGAGGCATTAATGTGCACCACAATCTTTGAATTTGAGTTCTCTTCTTTGAGGAATTTCAGAGAGACGAGGATAGATATTTTATGGGTTTTAACACATAACTATTTATCCTATTGCCCCATATATACAAACAATTAATTAGGAGTGATAAGTGGTTGGGTTTAACTTTTGATAATTTACAAGTCTCAGGTTCAATCTTTTTTTACATCTCCTAACGACTAGCCGCTTTTGATCTTTTTGGGGACACTTTGTAGTAAAAATATCTATATAATAAAATAGAGCAAATTTTGAATTTTAGAGACAAAAGCGGCTGAGATCATTTTGAGACAAAAAAAGGTATCAACCAACAGACGACACTATCCTAAACTGTCTAGAGCTCCTCACGTCTCAAATCATCTCAAAATTTTTGATTCAACACACCAAATTAACTTTTGATTATCCTGCCAAAAATTTTTAATTTTTGAATTCCCTCATAATTAGGTCCAACTTTCATACTTTTATGGCGTATCGTGCATTTACTAAATATTTACTCCTTTCTGACCCTTCTCATGCCCTAATGCCACATTTACTCTCTCCCCAAATTCAAAGATCCCCAAATTTATTATGCCCTAATCTCATTCTTCTCTTTCTCCTCGCTCCATCTACCATCTTTCTTCTCTAGTAGGCACCACCTTTGCCCATCCACTGTAGCTGCCCAAACATCACAAACAACTCCTAATGACCACAATCACTTAGCTTTTTCTCCCATTCTCAAGTAACTCTCTCCCCATCTTTTTTCTCTGCCAAACTCTGCCCTCTCTCAACCCTACCAAAATTCCCTTCCCCCTATCCCTCTGTCACACTTTCAATCTCCCCATTCCTTACACTAATCTTCTGCCTCCCTCATTCTCATTCTCTTTCACTTTCCTTATCTCTTTTTTATCTAAAACATTCCTTGACATCATTCTCTGTAAAATCCAAATAAATTTGATTTTTTTTATGAAAAAGGGTAAAACGGTAATTTGTCATTACAATATGGGTTAAAAACCTTAATTTTTCTAGAACTCAGATGATGAAACGAACCTCATCGTTGAATTCTTCTCGTGAAATCTAGCTATCATGTGAATTTTTATCGAATTTTGATATAATCGAATTTTTTACATTTTATGAGGCGACTGGGTGTCAGGTGACCACATAAACGAACCCAGGAATTAAATTTAAAAGATTGGATAATAATTTAAAATTAGTCCATGTAAAAATATTTTGAACTTAAATCAGGACGAAATTTAATTAATTCGGGTCAAAAACATACCTAGGAAAGGAAAACGTGTGACAGAATGAGACCCAAGTATTTAAAGACCATAAAAGGAGAAGAAAATCTGATTTTCTTCCCCAATTCTCAGCCTTTTACCTGTTAAAAAAGAGAAAGTAAGAAGAGAGAAAAAGAGCAAGAGTTTCACACTTTCTCTCTACGATCTACGTCTCTATGTTGCTCGAATTGACTCAAGCCAATAACAAAAGTTGTCATTCTCATTGAGGGTTACGCAACCATACCAAAAAAGCACGAATTTGGGTGAAGTTTCAAAAATGGGACTTGGAGAAATCAACGGTTTAGACGTGATTTGAGATTCATGAAGCTTCTTACCGTTGTTTTAAACTTTAAGAGGTAGGGTTCTCTCTCTAACTAAGTTTATTTATATCATAGAGTTGTGATATGGAATGGATAGGTTGTTAGAGATGTATAACACTTGCCTATTGTTGTTAAATGGATGAAATGTATATTGAAAATGGGTAAAAATCAATTCTAGGTTGAATTGGTGTATAGAAATTACTAGCTTTTAATTTCTTGAAAAATAGTGTTATGTGGACATGCTATATGTTTATATTATACTTTTGTGAGTTAATTGTGTTATTTATATGATTATGTGATAACATGCTTGGAAATTGTTGTTGGGTATACTGTTGATATATGCTTGGTGATGTATTGACATTAAGATGATTTATGGTAATTATATGCACATGATATAATTGACCATGGAATATGTGAAAATGTGGTTGAATTGGTTCATATGACACTCATAACATATTGAACATAAAATTGTATAGGAATTGTACATTACATTGCATATGCACGGAGACATCGAATTCATAAGTGTTTGACATGAGTGTGGGTGTGTGTACATGGTTTGATCAAACACCATTCTTGGTGGATGATACGTGGGCTCAGGATAGTTGGACCGAGGTTCGACTGAGTCGTATAGTTTGCATTGAAAATAGGGTCGGGGTTAGTAAGAAGGGCTAGACTTTCCATCGGGTGCAAGACCCGGTGATTAGAATACGCATTCCCTTGGTTTAGTCCATAAAGTGTGTCGGTGTACGCAGAATCGTTGGTGGAAGTTCTTGAATTTCATGTCGGTTGGGTGTCCGTTGGTGAAAGTCTATAAATACCCACCCCAAGAAAGACCTAGAGATTTTAAATAGTCATTGGATGTGTAACATTAATGGCAAAGACTTGGAATACCTGGAGATCATACGGATGACATTTGCATGTGTTGAGAGAGCTGGTGAAGGCTGGAGTTGAAGTACATGAGTGAGTCTCATCTTATATCATGACATGACATGGTGATTTTGAACATTGAATTGCATATTCTTGACTGAAATATTGTTGCTTGTTGAATTGTGCATGTAAACATTTTATATGCATTTAGGTTGGGGAGTAGCCTATTTAGGAGATACCCTTTTGAGCGTGGCTCACCCTAATGGAAAAATATTTCAGGGGTAGGGTTTACACCGATGGAAGACTCTCATTGTAAAACCCAAGCATGCATGTGTACGAAAAAAAAATAGAAAAATATTTTTTTATATAGTGCATGTTTTAAATAGGTATATAATTATAAAAAAAATTAGAATTAAAGTAAAAAAAAATTGAGTTATTTACGAAAATGCCATTACATGACATTTCTTCCCAAGATATTGCCTAGCAGCGCAAGAGCTCTCCCCCGCCTTTTCCAAGTTTCTAGAGTGGTGGAGGAGATGCTTAAGACTTCAACAAGTTTCTGGATAAGGGAGAACCGCCAAGAGAGGAGAGAGGGAGAAGAGAGGAGCTAGACAGAGAAATTCAAATTTGGAATTTTGGATTTGTGGAAGAAGCTACTTTGAACAATTAAAGGTATGCTACTAGACTAATTTGAGGGTTAGAAATCTCCTAATATCATTAGAATTTCATATCATGCACTATAATTGCTCGAATTCATGTTTTAAATTTTTGGGTTTTAGGTTTTTATGAAATGAGTTTTGAGTTTGAGGTCATTTTGATTGGCATAGGAGTGTTGTGGGGAGGTATAGGAGTATTTTTGTGGTAATTTCAAAGCTTTCCATGAGTGGAGATGGTGGGATGGTGGTGATGAAGTTTCGGCCATGGTGGATTTTTGATCTCTTGGTTTTGGAGCATAAGCGTTGGAGAGAAAGTTGTTCCTAGCTAAAATGGACCTTAGGAATCATTTGGTGACCTTAGAAATGGATTTATAAGTTGTTAAGATGGTTAAAATGCAAGTTACAGGTCTGGCCATAAACTAGAAATCTTATTTTTGGTTTAATTTGACCGGTTATGTTTATGGGTTTAAGCTTAATTCGAAGCTTGAGAATTATGGGGTTTGTTAGAGTGATGTGTGATGAATTTTTAGGTTCAAAAATTAGGTGAAAAGGTGTATTGAGTAGGGAGGAATAAGGGTGAGAAGTAAGTAGGTTAAGGCTAATGGAAGGAGCCAAGGATTTTGGTTAAAGTGACCAAGGAAGAAGATGAAGGAGGAGGAGGTACACTAGTGCACCCCAACAGCGCATTAGGGAGCTTTTGGATTTTGATTTCCCTTTGGTTGGTGCCAAAAGTTTCATAACGTCTGTGCGGAGGTCCTGGTAATATTTCAAGCCAATCCGACGGTCGGATCAAAATGAGGATTAAAATGACTATTTTGGCCTCTAGGGCCAATTTGACCCAGTTTTTGGATGATTTTGGGAAAATAAATTTTATATTCATTTCTAGGTAGGTTATTTAAGTATGTGTATGAAAATTCATTGAAAAATAACATCATTTTATTTTTGGCTATTTCAGATCGAAAATCAACGCAAGATAGAGTTTCTCAATTCCAGATCAGTCGAAGTTTTTCAAATTCATTTTGAAATCATGTATTACACTATTTATGGATTATTAACACATTTTCAAAATTATGATTATTTTGAATTTGGATTGAAAATCAGGGATCCGAATTAGGGATTTGTGTGCAGTAACGCACAGTGGTCTGAAACGATGCATTTGAATGTATAAAAAGTGATGCTTGATTCCTTTTAAACTAATTATAAGTGTAATAAGGATTTATATTCGAATTTGAGATTGTAGAGGATACTCACTGAGTTTGTAAACGCATGAGAGGCCAATTGTCTTCAAACTTTAAGTACGAAAGTTATATTGTGGTGAATATGAAACGTCACGAAACACATTCCTATGCATTGATTTGCATTAGTTAAGCTATTTTTGATTCGATACTCATTTGCATTAATCCATGTGTTAACTAGTAGGGTCGGAGGCTACTACCTCAGTTACACATAGGGATCGACCGTAAAGAAAGGAAGGATATCTATCAGCGGTAAAGGTGAAGTGTATTGCTTCATAATACTTGAAAATAAAAGTATATGATATACCAATTTTATTCTCTTATATGTGAGAAATCATTTTTGTTGAATTGATTTGAGTTGAGTTGCTTAAGCTATGGATCAAATGTTTTGTTGAGCAACTTGTGGTTTGTTGAAAATCTTGTAATTTGAGCAGTATTCACTGTTTTAGAGTTGTTGATAGCTTGACATGACTTACATATTGTTGATTTGGACACTACACAGTTGTCGTGAGACAGTTTGACATTGCTTAAATGTTGTAAATAGTTTGACATTGTTTAAATGTTGTTGATAGTTTGACATTGCTTAAAAGTTGTTGTTGACACATAAC